CCTTTGCATCCAAATTCAAACTTGTGAAAGGGAAAGTGTCTGCCACATTTTTGTTATACATATATAAACTGAAGTGTTGTTTTCATATACCCTTTCCTGACTAGTTGCAGTACAAAGTTCTCCCTTTATTAATAAGGGTTTATTTGATGGTGTAACGCAATTTTGAGAGAAATTTGCAAAAAAAAAAAAATCATTGGCATTTTTGTAAATAAATAGTGTATTTAAGGTGCATGTTAACAAAGAAAACGTATTTTATGAAGAAAACGTATTTTATAAAGAAAATAATATGTTATCTTATGTGATGGTACATTGTTTTTGAATACGCAAAGCGCGATAAATTGCATCACTTATTTATAAAATAGCCACCGTGTTTGCATCTAATAGCAAATAACCTATATTAATAATTGAAGATTCTTGTTCGAAATCTAAAGTGATTTTAATTTTTTTTAATGTCAATAATGTAGTAGGAAAATAGGTGCATCTATTGAGATAGACTAGTATAATTAACCCAACAGACTACAACCCTTTGGCTATGAAAGCTGAGTTAAAAAGGCAACATTAAGATGATTTTGCAAGATGCTTTATTAATTCCCCCAAATCTTATTATTGTGAAATTTCAAGATGGAGCCCATAGATTTGTAATCCCGACCACACAATAGATATTTAGGAAGGAATTATGCCAACTTATTATTTGAAATATAATCTCTTCGGATCCAAAATCATTTCCCCAACGAAGGAAAAAAAATCATATCAAGATGAAGAATGGGGTTTGTTTGTCTCATCATGCTTTTGTGTTTTGACAAACCAATTATTTATTTTAGCTCTCATTCCATGTTTAGAAAGAAAAAAACATTCGGATCACTAAACTACAACTATAATTTTTATTGTAAAAAAAATTATAGAGATTCTAAGAAAAGTACCTTTTATATAAAATAAAAAATTGATCTCTTCCTAATAAAGTATCACACACAAAAGTGATTGAGCATGCAATTTATTATAGGTTGAACCGTTTGTCGTGGTTTTTGTATGTTTTAGATTTGATCCCGCATTTAGCCATTTAGTAGATGAACGTGCCATGACAATCTCAAAAGTATGTATTTCATGTGGACCACACTTGAAAATTGGATTCATAGCTTTAATATGTTGATATGGAGACGGATTTTTTTATATGAACATAATACAAAAGCTAATTCATCCACAAGACAAGAGGAAAAAGGTGATTAAGGGTGTAAATACGGAATCTGGCAGAATTTTTTGATGATTTATTACAGAATCTAGTTGAATAACTAATGATTCAAATGGTAACCGCAGAATCTGACGTATTACAAAAAAAAACCATTTAAAAATCAATTACCATATAAAATTACAAACTAATAACGAACTTACAAATTGATTTATGATATTAATAATTTATTTAAAAACATAAAACTGAAAATAGGTCACTGAAAGACAAAAACATATTCTGCAAATTTAGTTTTTTAGTCACATTCATCAAGTTTTGTTTTTAGTCAGTTGTTCAACATTCAGCAACTTCAAATGGTAACCATAACACTACATTCTTCAACATTCCTCAATTCTTCATTTACCGGTTAGAGCCTAGATGTATATAAAATGGTGCTTTACACTTAGACCACATAATTTATTATTAATAAATGAAAGCTTTTTTTTTTCACAAAATTGGTTTTCTTTCGGTTTCCTGATCCTCCAACACAACAATCAAATACAATAGTCTTTTGCCTTGAATATCTTATTAAGAAGACAAGGACAAATGCTATATTTATTTATAAATATAATTTAAAGAAATGATAACAAATCTTAATGAATGTTCTTGCTCTAAGAAAAAGGTTATGTGCAGGATAGTTGTTGATTACTCCTATAGGGCTACGGTTCAGTGATAATAGCGTTAAAATCATACCTATGTATAAATAAATCACCTACTCTTTTAGTCACAAATTGTGGATTAATAAAGTTGATTGGCCTGGTTGAAAGAATTTCATGATGATACGACTCATATTGATATTGTTATTAGCATTTTTCTTTTCATTTGCGTTTGCAATCCTAAAAAATGTTTTTAAAATCATTAAATATTATGTTTTATACAAGCACATAACGCAAAAAGGGGACCGTAACTCAAGTATGATTTCGAATTTTGTTTAGTCTAATCGAATTTTGCGATTTTGCGATTGTTTATAGGGAAAATTACTAGAACAACTTTTGAAATAGCATAATTACTAAAACAACTCTTACACAAGATTAAAACTTAACAAATGTCATAAAAAACATATAAACCTTAGCAATCAATTTTTATTACGAAAATACCATTTTAATTATTTTAAAAAAAAATTCAGAAATTTGTTTGAAACCGTGGCCGTAGAGGCTGCAGAAACACCAGAGACGCGCTTGGCGGAAATGTACGGCCGGATTTAGATAAAGTCGGATTGAAAATCACAAAAAAATGTGAAATCTTTTGATTTTTGGTTAGAAAAGAGATATATGATGTTAGATCTACTATTTTTAGACTAAATCCAGTTGAAAACACATTAAAATACAGTAAAAACGAGCTAAAAAGTAGTTGGCCGCCATTGTTAGGGTTTGACAGAAGCTTGTTGTG